ACGCACACACACACACACACACACACCCACACACACATTCACACTCACACTCACACACACACCCACACACACACTCACACATGCACCCACACACACCCATTCACACACCCCCCACCCACACAGCCTGGTGAGCATGTGCTGCTACAAGTTACTGGAGAACCCGGCCCTGGTCAAGCTCAAGGATTCCCTAGACCTGCTGGCTCACATCATCGGTGATCTGGTCAAGCGCTACAACCACGGACTTGGTCAGTGGCCCACACTTCCCCACTTTTGGCTTTTCTATTTGCACATAAAGGCTTTTAGTTCTAGTTTTAGTAAGGTTTTACGGCGCTCGCAACTGCATAAGGGATTGTCATTTTCCTCTACTTCTTTTCTATGTTTGTCACACTCTTGTGACCTGCTATTTCCGGGGTGCCTTGATAGTCGAAGCAGACCTTGTGCTGTTGAAGTTAGAGAGGCGAGCAGAGTAAGCCTGATTTCCCTTTAAGGACTTCTCTGTTGACATCCACCCCTTGGCGCTCCTATGACATTTTGCAGTTGCAAGCGCCGTAAAACCCTCTACTAAAAAAAAAAATACTATAAAATGCAATTATTATAAATTGTTATTTTTTAGCATGAGACCTCATGCAAACTTTCGGAACCTTCGGTGACACGGTAAAGATGACTCCACTAGGGAGCGGGACAGAGGGTGACCACCTCGTGACTCGACAGAGCTGAGGAATGTAGGACTAACATGATCTGAACAAGTAACTACGAACCAGTTGTTGTAACCATCTCCAGTTAAGGCCATGGCAACACTTAGATGTGCAACTTACCAATAAACGTTATAAGAGTGAACTAACATATTCATTTATTTATTTATTCATTTATTTATTTATACATATAACATTCTCCTGTGTGTTTACTTCAAGATTAGCAGCTAATTTCAAAATCCCAAATGCTGCACATTTTTTGTTATTAGTGAACATAAAAGCTCCAGATAATAGAATTGGGCAGGATAAAAAAAAAAAATTGACAAAACTTATTTTGATCCACATGTTGCAGGTGCCAGTCTGAAGATTGACCAGCTGCTGAAACATTTTGAGTTCCTTACCACACCCCTGGCTCAGATAGTGGAGCTGATGGTTCAGGAGCACGGCTGCAAGTCCACTGTGACCGACATTGTTAGGTGGG